GGAAGCTCACCACCACCTCACCAGGGCAACTAGGAACAGACAAATACTGGCAAGCCAGCGACACCCATATCCCAGGAGTGAATAAAAGAAAATTCTTTAGCTAGCTCCTTTTTTTCCAATGTTACTGGGAAACAAACCTTTCAATCATCATTAAGGTTAAACCATTTTCAACTTTAAATTCTGCAGACACGCCACCTGATAGAGGACAGAATCCAGCATAGGGCATAACATTCAGTAACTGACAAGTTTCTCAACAAAAAAAAAACACAACTAATTCTAGAACCTGATAACAGCATAATTCAGGGCTCCTGACATTTTGATTGCCCCTGCCTCTTGCAAGCAAGTCTTCTGAGCCACTCACTCAATACATACAAATAAATCAGAGAAGATTCTGATGTCTGAAGATTCTGGTGTGTGTGCATAACTAATTGATAGGAAAATCTCAAATCTGAGACAAATCTTGAGAAAGGGGAAATTAGCCTCCACACACTTGTGTTGGGCAATGGCTCATGACTGGTCATTTTTTAAAATTCTTGATTAATGCAAAGATGGATATTTGCCTTTTCTCTAATATCGCATGGACAGTAAGTAGTACTTTTATTTCTAGCATTACATCACAGAAAAAAAAACTGAAGATTGCTTAACAGGTCAACATCAGCCAAAATGTTAAAGAGTAACGACACCCCAACATTCAATATACAGCAAACAAAAGCAGCAACGCACTCACTTTACGGTCTAATCTTCATCGAATTCAACAAATTCAGAAAATAATCCAGTTGTACTTCAGACATGTAAATGCCCTTCAATCAAGTCGTAGAATCCCACACAATTTTAAGTTTGGAAAAGGAGTTACTATTAGATTATATCCTAAGCATCTGTGTCTTTAGGCTCAGGTGATGCAACAAGAGACAATTTTTTTTGCACTTGACAATACCATCGGAATGAATAATTACTCTGTGCATTTATCCATTACTATGTAATTATATAGTTAACAGGAGAGCAAACATAAAGCAAAGAAAATTAGGTCGAAGGTAAATGCGAAAACCATTTACCTACTTCATGTTTGTTCTCTATGTTATTATGGGAATTGGACAATGAAACCCAAGATTTTATTAAGTAAATAGAAAATGGTTTTAAAAAACAGATATAAATCATGAAAGCTCCCCTAGCTATTAGGTTTGTCAGTGTTTAAGCACATAGAAAAACCAGAAAAAAAGATAAAGATTTATTCCATTTTGATAAAATAACACTCAACCACCTGCTATTTACACAGTTACAATAGTCAATACACATTTCTCTAGTATCTTCTCACATCTACCGATTTTGTCCAACTTTGCACATTCATTTCCAATTCTGAAATCATGACTCACTATTTTGCATATCTTTAGATCTAGCAAATGGTTTTATCTTTCATGAATCTGAACATAAGTGAAAGGCATAAGGTGCCTCTGATATCGAGGAACATGATTTGACTGCCCCTACGCAAAGATTTAACAAAGATCTTTCGCTTTTTGTTTGGGGGGAGGGGGGAGAAGTGGGGGAAGAGAGAGAGAGAGAGAGCAAGAGAGCGCGAGAGACGAAGGTGAAGACAGCAATCCAGAAATGGATATCACTCATGTGGTCATTATGCTCCAATAACGAAGTGACCATGCTTAACTTTATAATCTTGCTGAAAAAAGTGAATATACCTCGTTCCTACTTTCTAACAAATTCTGAGCCAAATGCAGCATTTGCAAAAATCAACAAGATTTTGCATCAGAAATAGAGGTTTACTTCTGTAAATCTCAAACAGTGAATTGATATTTTCAGGGTAGTCCAATAACAACTGCAAAAGTGAGGAGCAGTAATTAGAAAGAGTAAAATGCAATATACAAATTTGCAAAAGGCAACGTGTCAATAAATCCCTGGGTAATATGAAAACATCAACACAAATAGGGCATTTCTCTCGAGCATAAGCAATATTAATGCTGGAGGTGAACTCAGTGTTCATACCATTATATAATGAATGTTGATATTTCATCCACAGTGGTGGGATTCTATAACAAAGGCAACCAAATGATAGCATCTGAAAGCTAGATTTAATAAGCCTCAACTCAAGTGACTGCGCAAACCTTCACTTTATTAAAGCTATGATTTCACTGTAACAATCAATAGAAGCTTCACTTCTTTTTTTCGTTGAAGGATGGTCAGTCAAAAACCTTGGTGAGTTTATCATAAACACAGCTTAGGACAGGAACGTCCCAGACCTGGTTGTGATTTGTGCTGTATCGTGTTGATTTCAGCCAAGCCATTTTTGACGGCACTAGCAAGACCCTGGGTTTTAGGAATCAGCCCTCAAAATATTTTCAGTCTGAAGTAAACCACATCGATTTCATTTAAATTTTCTGTTCAAGGAGCTTTCTTCAGACAGTCACACAAAAAAAAAACTTGCCAGCAAAGTGCAGCTGGTTAACTCTAAATATCCATAAATAGTTCTACTCATGTCAATAAAAGTTCCTAAATGTGCTACCTCAAAATATCAACTAGACCACAAGCATTCTCAAGTTAAGTTTGGCAATTAAAAACATTCCCATGAAAATAAGTGACTGCATATATTTGCATACATAATCATTTTGAAGGACAACCTTTCCTTTCCAAAGTCCAGATTCATCAGATATGACAACAGTTAACATAACAATGCCTCCAGCCACAATCTCAGAAAGTATTCACAAATAACATTTTGGATTTCTCTGTAATTTGATCTTCTACCCAAAATTTGTAGCCTGATACAGGAATATATGCAATAAAACATTTTCAATCATAATGAAAATGGTTGCTTTAAGTTAATAAGTAAAATCAGAACTTGCACGGCAACTGCAGAAATCTGTTTACCCCACAGTCTAGGAAAGAATAAGATTTGGATGAATGTTTGTGTATTAAGTTAAATTTGACAAACAACATTAAACAATACGGGGGGACAAGTCTAGGGAATATAAGCTATAAGTCACAATCTTTTGTATCTCATCCTTCACATTCACTATCATGAAATATTTCACCTTCAAAAAGAGAACAAGTGTTTGCTTAAATATTTAATTAATTGAATTCTTGGTTTCCAAAGAAAATTAAGCTCTGAAATGAACATTTGGGACTAACACAGAATCTCAGTCAATAATTCAAGACTCATCCCAATTTCTCATTTTTAAATTTAGCAGCGTTTTTGGCAATTTTGTGTACTTTGGAAGCATGATCAGAATAATCTAAATTGATTTTGAGGTACTTTTATCTTTTTACAAAAAGATAATGTTGGAAACCTTGATTTTCTTTTTCTAGATATTTAAGCATTAGACTTAATGTAAAACTGGCATATTAACCAAAATAGCATAACTGAGTTGAAATGTTGAAATGATAAATCACAGGTGGCAACTGACAGTGACTTCTTTACCTTTTACTATCACTCTGCAACACTTTGCACCCACCTGCCCTCACCCAAAAAAAAACAAACATTTTTCTAAAAGGATCAGTTTCCCTCCCCACCCAGGAACTGGATCTCTGACTGATTTCCTTAACCCAGTGCAGTTCAGGACAACTGTAGCAACTAGACTGCCATTGCGGCAATGCTCAGTTAACCTATCACAAACTAATGCTGAAGCTCATTGTTCAACTCATCACTCTCCATGAGTTAACCAGTGGCAAAGGCAGTGGTCATTATTTCAAATCCATTAAAAACTTAATTAAGAGCTGGATACAGTAATTTTAAAAGATATTCTCCACTGACGTCATCAGCTCCCAACAGCAACGGTGAATGGATTTTTAGTCTATTAAACATATGTTGATCAGTGAAGGGTGCCAGAGATGGTGATCCATCCTTGCAAGACAACCATGAGATCATTAACATCTGTCAAGTTGCTAAGTACATTGTAGATGCTGCAATTGTCAAGTGTACAACAATTGGTTACATCACCCATTTTCAAACTAATCAAGTGTGCAGCAGCTTAGAAACATGCTTTAAAAAAAGTGCTGAAAACTATTAAGCAGACTTAATCCAAACCGCACAACTAATGGAAAGACCATCTTCCACAAACTCTAAACTTTCCATTCCCTCTTTCTGCAGGTGTAAAACTAGGTTATACAAAAAGTCAAACCATTCATTTGATTGATCACTCACATAAGCAGTTTCTTTTTTCAGGGGAAAAGCTGTTGGTTTGAAGGTAACCACAATTCTAATCAATCAAATTTTCAGGACACAATTGAATTTGAATCATAATTTTTGGATAATATAGTTTTAAGTTTTATTGAAATTTGACATGAACAATAAATTGTAAATACAATCACATCAATGAACAGAACGCCACGGGTTGTACGATTAAGCCAAACCAAATTTTGGGCAGATTCTTAAAGGTGTGAAGCTAACAATTATTTTAAAAACACAATTTACCTACTCTACAAATGCAAAACACACAGTTAAATGTTACTTTCAGTACAAGGAAACTTAAAAATGGTTTTAAACTGCAAGCTCATCTTAAAAACTACTAAGACAAAACACTAGCATTTACTTATATACAGCATACTCCAATGGCAGTCTAATCCCAAAGCCATAAACCAGTGAAACTGTCCAATACCAGTCAATTCTGCAAAACCATGATTGAAAATTGTGCCCAACATCTGAAAGCAAAGTCCAAAGTTTCCTTTCAAACTGCTAAAAAAGTAGCTTAAAAACGAAATAAAAAGCATCTTTTTCCCCCAAAGAATTGTTAAGGGAAAATGTAAGCCAGAAATGTCCAAGTGCATTTATGAAAAAAAAAATCTGGTATATACAATAGTGATTCTTGATGTCAGCAAAATGCATGTGGCAGCCAATCTGTACTGAAGGATGTAGAGTTAAGCCAATCAGATTTGAAGGTTGCAGAGTTTAGCCAATCGGGTCTCAACAATCTCACTGAAACCCCCATTTGTTTACTTCCATTGCTGCCCATAAGTATCCTGATAAAACTCCTGGTTGTCATTATTGTAACCATAGTTACCAGAATAATCACCACCTTGCTGCAGAGGCTGCTGAGCGATGGGTTGGGAGCCCCAATTCTGTTGGTTGTTGGTTTGGCGTCGCTTGGAATCTGGCTGGTTGTACCCATCAGCTTTTCGCTTTCCTCCAACATTGCCACCACGGTTACCCCTGCCACCACGGGTTCCACGTCCTCTTTGCGGTGGCTGTGGGCCTCCTCTGCCACCCCTAGCACCTCTTGGAGGTCCCATTGGTGTTCCACGTTGAGGATATCCTGCCCTTCCTCGGGGTGGTGGTACACCACGACCTCTGGGAGGGGGGACTGCACCTCTACCACCCCTTCCACCTCTTCCTCTCTGAACTGGGTATCCATCGTCATAACCATAGTATGGATCTTCATATCCACCACGATAATCGTGATAATCATAACCATAGTAATCATCATAGTAATCTTCATAGCTGTAATAATCTGGGGGATAGCCATAACTACCACCTCTACTTCCACGGACTCTGCCTCTGATTGGAGGTGGCAAACGGGGTGGGGGGTAGTAATAATAGTCTTCATACCTGTAAAAGAAAGTTGCATTATATATAAAAAGTTAGAAGAACCATATTTTAGTTGCACTGCTCTTTTTTAAATAAGTAACTTACACTTGGGTTCTTGTTGCCTGCCGTTGAGCCTGCCGTTCCTTCTTTTTCTTGTCAGGTGGTTTTGCAAGAACAATTTCAATGCCTTCACCCTCAATTTCTCTTCCATTCATTTGATCCATTGCCTATTAAGACAAAAAAAGTTTACAAGATACACAAGAAAAGCAATATTTGGTCCATCTCAGCTTACCCAGCCAGATTCTACACATCCCCTATCAGTAACAAAAACAGAAACTGGTACAGAAAACTAGGTATGGCAGCATCTGGAGACAGAAAGAGTTAACACTGAGTCTAATATGACTCTTCAGAATATATTCCCTCTCACCCCAAACATTTACCAATATCTGATGATACTGAATGGACCCCATGTCATTTTAAAACTGGTGAAATTCTGAAGAAAATGGCATGGATGTGGAAATCAGTACCACAGACTTGTTGCAGCAAAGAGGACAATGCATTTAAGGGGATGCTAGGCAAGCATATAAGTGAAGTAAAAGTTATGTGACATTTACAAAAGTGAAGGAGAATGAAGGGAATTACAATGACAATATGGAACAGCTGGGTCAAGTGGATTGTTTTGCTGCTACAAATCTGATGTAATTCCACTTAAAATTTTAAATTTCAAGGGGCAGTAATCCTGTCACTGTAGTTTGGAGAAGGGGAATTAAAATTAGGAATTGTTGCAATGCAAATTAACATTCACAGACAGATGATAGATCACCAAAAGGTTGTATTAAAAAAGGCCAATATTAATTTTAACTTAAATTCTTTACTCAAACATCATTCAAGTGAATTAATTCGACTGTGTTCAGTCAGTATCATTTATCACTAAGCTTTAAAACACCATGACAATATCTACAGATGTGATACTTGGCATCATTCTTACGTGTATTATCAACTGAAATAGTTTAATCAAATTGACTGGCACAAACCTTTACTGCTGCATCTCGGTCCTCAAAATGAACAAAAGCATAGTCTTTCAACTTTTTCACCCGTTCCAGTTTTCCAAATTGACTAAAGGTCTTTTCTAGTATTTCTTCTGTTACAGAGCTAGCCAGGTTTCTTACAAACAGCACTTTGACCTGTAGAAAGAAAAAGTGAGAGAAAAATACCAAATGACAAATGTGAGTTCAACCCCAATGTTGGGATACTATACTGCACTACTAGCAAAACTGTCCCGTTATGTACTGGTAATCGCAAGACTCAATAGAAAATAACTGGTAAACAGAGTTAAATAACTAACAACTTTTACATTATTAACAATGCGGGTCATTTATGGCAATGAGAATTTGGAAAAGTATGGGTAAATGATACAGCCAAAAGTTTGATCTGAAAAGTTTCAATACTACCTGAAGATGAAAACTAAATAGGATATCAATTCACTTTTCACAGTTGTGGAAAATGAATTGTATATAAAAAAAAATCAATTGCTTGCTTTTAGATGTTCGTAAGTGGTTTCTGACTTCATATTCAAAATAAATAGCACATCAAGCCAAGTTGAATTATATCAAGTCAAGCCATCACCATTGTGTTTTCATAGCATGTAAAATGTCAAGAAATTCCAGCTTAAAAGCAAATCCTGGGGCACTTGGCACTTTATACAATTAGGCAACAATGTCAAAATCAGCATTATCGAAACAAAAAAAAAAAATCTTGACACTAGATGCATTACCTTTGCCATCACCTCTGGATCTGGTTCCTCTACTGGGTCTGCCCACTCAACAGTGACTACATTACCCCAAACTTTCACTTTGCCACTCATTAACCTCCGCCTGGCCTGAGCAGCAGATTTATGATCCTCAAATTCTAGGAAGCAGAAGCCTCTATTTTTCTTCTTATCATCAGGCTGATGATAGAGGATAACATCAGTGAGACCCTCTACAGAAGAGAAAGAAAAATTAAATGACAAATTTGTGCTAACCAACTGAAAGAGTAGAACGCGTCATTGAAACAGTTAGCTCCATTTCATCAGCATTACATCATTAAGTTCAAATGGCGAAAATACCATACAATCAGAACCAAAAAAATTAGAGAACAATTTAAACCGTTCATCATTCGTAATGCCCTTTGACATGAAACCACAAATAATGACCCTGAAAGTCAAATTTTGGCTACTTCTTTAAAATATCTCTCTTCATACTAGATTCATCTAACCAGTAAGGCAGAACATGACTAGACAAAGCTGACTCAACAGAACTTAGGAGGGCAATCTCAACAACTAACACAAGCACATGAAAGCAACATTTGGAGGTGTCTACGTCAACATGCTCTCCAAGGTCAACCTTGAATGGGTCTGACTGAATGATGCAAAATAAAAGGAAGAATCCAAATGTTTCATTAACACAAACAACACTGCAACTACATCAGCAGAATCTATCAGGGAAACAACTAGAAATCTGCAAAAAGTATTGTTGATGAGTGTTAATAAATTAACCATAAGTTGTTAAACAATCTAAATTCTCCATAAATTTTTACTTTCCTATAGATTTGCCACAGTAAGTTGCCATAGTCCCAGAAGACCACAGGACGGCTCTTTCATTACAGACAGATGACAGGCAATGAGTTTAACCAGAGGGTCATGATGCCTCAGGGGAGGTTTAGAATGCCACAATACCAATAGCTGAACCTTGCCCCCAAGGTTAAGTGGTATTAGGTCTAGCAATTTCCAAACCAGTTTTCACTTTAATGTGGGGATAGAACAACGAAGATTATTCTTTAAAACTTTTTAAATTGGAAAGACTTAGCTAGCTTGAACAGTGTCTTTCACATCTGCAGCAAATACAAGTTCCAGGGCTGTTACTGCTAAGTTGCTGGTCACAGGAACCTTATTGTCAATTGAATTGGCTTATTGCCACCCATATCCCAAAGCAAACTAAATTCATTTAAACAAAGTTGACACAGGATAGCTAGTATTGAAAATTTTACAAGTCACAAATACTCAACATGGAATAAAAACAGAAGTTGCTGGAAAAGCTTGGGAGGTCTGGCAGCATTCGTGAAGAAAAAAAAAATCAGAGTTAGTGTTTTGGGTCCGGTGACCCTTCCTCAGTTCGGAGTTCAGCAACTTCTGTTTTTATTCCTGTTTTACAGCATCCGCAGCTCTTTCGGTTTTCACTCAACATGGAATAGTTGCACAAGACTTTTGGGTGATATTTTTTGGGGGAGAAGCAGCAGCTGTACTTTATCAGCTGGCCATATCAGGCAGCCAAAACATTTTGATCTTTGAATCCCCGCTACAAAATACCCCTAAACTTGACACAGAAGGAAAATTTTTTTGCACTGAATTCAAAAATCAAAGTACATTAAAATTGAAACAAAACACCCAGCATTTTATTTTTGAAAACCAGGGGAATTTTATGGCGTTTCAATAAGATTGCCTTTCATTCTTCTAAACTTCATACTGTATAGCCCTAATTTACTCGGTCTATCATTAAGGACCATCCTGTCATCCATGTGACCCATCTAGTGTATTTATATATCACCTCAAATATGGAAGCAAAATCTATAAACGGTACTCCGGGTTTGATATCACCAACTCCCTAACACAACCGTAGCAAGACATCCCTACTCTTGTACTTCCAATATTGTGCACCACCCCCAACAAAAGAGAACACGTCATTTGTTTTCCCAATTGCTCACTATACACCTGCATGTTGTACTCATAAGAAGCATGAGGTAGTCTGAACAACATACAAATCTGATGCCTTTTAAAACATACTGCTTTTCTATTCGTCATTACAAATTACACCACACTCCATCTGTCACCATTCATTTAATTTGTCAATATCTCTGCAGTTCGTTTCCTCTTCACAGCTTAATTCTCACCTGGTTTTCTACATTTAATGAACGTGGAATAAAAAACTGAAAGTGACATGTTAAGTTATTCACAAACTGCAAATAACAGAGGTCTCAACACTGATCAGTGCAGCATTCCACTTAAGCCTCCCAAATTGAAAACGCCTTGTTTATCCCTACATTCCATTTTGTGTATATTAAATTAATCTTCCATTCATGCGGATACATTACCTCCAACTCTCAAACTTTTTTTTTTTTAAAAACTTGTGTGGTATCTTATTGATGAGCACCTTTTGGAAATCCAAGTATACAACATCAACTGGTTCCCCTCTATCTTAATAACTATACCTCCATAAAAAGTATTTGTCAAACATTGCCCTGTTCTAAAGTCATGGTAACTCAAAAATTACAGACTGATCAAAGAAAATATACTATTGAGACTTCCTTAAGAATGCATTCCAACATTCTCCCTCTTCACTTGAATAGCTGAATTACTATTGTTAATTTGCATTCTAAAATCCAGAAGTTTGCAAAATCATAACCAACACTTCCACCATCTCCAGAGTTACAAAGCAGCTCATGTCAAAGGCTTATGTAGGATATATCACACAAAATACACTATTTGATCTAACCAGTTCATGTTAATGCCTGTTGCATGCAAGCCTTCTCACATTTTACTTCAAAACTCTCTCTCAAGTTCATATGTCTAGCACCCCCTCTTACATTCTCACTATTCATTTCAATTAGTCTCTCAAAAGAATCTTCAGTAAAATAGCGCCTTCCAAATTCCCCAACTTGATTTGGTGAATTAGGCAGTTAAAAATTCTTACATTGATGGCTTCCAGTTAGGCTCTATGCCACGCACTTAAAACTTGCCCCAATTTTAAGTACCTCTATCAAGAGACCACTCAGCCTTCAAAAGAAGAAATCTCAGGCTGTCAAGCATTTCTTGATGTACATCAATGCATTTCTTGCATCAGTCTAGCTGGTATTCTTTGCCCCATCCCCACTGCCTCAATATAATACAGCAACCAGAGAAGTATACAGTAATTCACTTCCAGGTGAATTTATTAGCTTTTAGTACTTAATAGTCTGTTTATTTGTTTCTAATATTAATGACCAAAAGTGAAGCCTTTTACTAACCGTTATTTCAGCTGATCTCCTCCCTTTTAATATATGTGTAACAATTGCTACGACCTATTTTTATATACTGTTTACTCATTTTTTCTACTTACAAAATGTAAGTCTTTTTAAAACTATTTAGCCAAATTACTCTTAATCAGCTCTCCCTTCATACCAAGGTGAGTGACTTTAATGTAAATTCAAGATTCTTATTTGGACTAGACTTTTTGCCTCAAAACTCAATACTGCATTCTCATGTTTAACGTCACTTTTTCCTCAATAGAATTAATAGTATGAAGTTACTAACTAAACCTGCCTCATTTCACAGATCAGAAACAGCACTAGCTCAGTTGGTTCTGCAATATATTGCTCTAGGAAACCGTCAGGAAAGCATTCTGCAAACTGAGGTTGCAAACTCCCCTGGCAAATTTGATTTGTCCAGTCTTCATGAAGATTCTAGTTTGCCACAGCTGCAATGCTTTATTATAAAGTTACAATTGTATCTTGCTTAATACTCCGTCTAGTGAGGCGACTAATGAACAACTCCGATCAGTATTTTCTGACCCATTTTATTGCTATTCTCCAACCATATTGTTTGTCTCATCTTCTAGAGCAAGATCTTTTCTCATTAATTGTCCTTCTGCCATCTTTTCCTATGAGGGCTGCTACACTTTCCCTTCTGTTAACTGAAATCTGTAAAGAAAATAAACTTTGCATTTATATAGCACCTGGCACAATCTTAGAATGTCCCAGAGCATTTTACGGACAATTAAATACTTAAACACAATCAGCACTGTATCACAAAGCACATCAGCAAACATGCAGATAGCAAACTCCCACAAACCAATGATTAATGATGACCTGATAATGGTTCTCAATTCTTTCAGGGATATCAGCATCACTCGTATTTGTTGCCCATACCCAATTACGTTTGAGAAGGTAGTGGCGAGCCATCTTCTTCAGCTACTGCATATCATTCGGTGAGGATACTCTTACATTGCTGATAGGGAGTGTTAGGATTCAGAAAGTATTTATCACCAGTGACAGAATGATGGTATAGCTCCAGTCAAGCTGGTACATAGCATGGCAAGGAACTTGCAGATGATGACGGTACCATGCATGTGTTGTTCTTTTCCTTCTAGGTGGAATAGGCCACTGATTTGGAAGGTGCTGTTGAAGAAGCCTTGGTGAGTTGTCATAATGCATCTTGTATATAATGTACACTGCTGCCACTGTTTATCAGTGGAGGACAAAGTAAATGTTCACGTCAGCGGATGGGGTTATTCAACCGCACTGCTTTGTTCTGGATGGCACCAACCTTGTCCTGTTGGAGCTGCACTCGTGCAGGCAAGTAGACAGCATTACATCACAATCCTGACTTGTGCTTTGTAGATGGTGGGCTTGCTCTAGGGCGTTAGGTGGCGAATTATTCACCAGGAATTCCCAGATTCTAATCAGTTCCTGTAGCAAGGGTATTTATATGCCTGCTCGAGTTCAATTTCTGCTTTATTAATCAAATAAATGTTGTTTAGGAATCCAAGGAAACTTCCATACTGGCTTGGGTTCTTCACAGAAGTATTGGGTCCTTCACAGAAGTATTGGGTCACAATTGAAAGAACACAAGCTCCAAGCAATCCAAAGATGCATACTCAAGAAATAAGAACTGGCTCTTTAAAAAAAAAACAGAAGGTTTAAATTGTTTGCTGCTATCTGGATGAACTTAGTTCTAACCTGTGACTTTGCTGAATTCTTCCATAATGTTTTCCTTGGTCTTGTTCTTTGGAATAGAGCCAACAAACAGCCTGTTGTTGGCCACAGAAATACAAACTCCAATGTGTTTACCAGGACGGATTTCATAGTTATCACACTACAAGAGAAAAGACAGAAGTTCAACTTGCATTAACATTTGTGGCATGGCTCTTTCCAACCTGATGTATCAAGCAACTTTTCAATGGAAAGATGCAGCTTTATTGCACAACTGAATTGAAAAAACGTTTAAGGATTTGCATAATACACAAATTTGAAATGTTCTTAAAAGCACGGAATTTGGAATCATAGCATTAAAAAAGAAAAAAATTACCAGTTTAACAGCCTCCTGTGCTGCATCCTTGTTGCAGAAAGTAACGAATGCATAGCCACGGTTCTGCCCAGACAGGGGATCCATCATTAGTCGCAGATCCCAGATAGAACCAGCTTTCTCAAACAAAGGAACGAGTTCATTTTCATACAAATCCCGAGGAATCTTCCCAACGAATACCTGAAGTTGAAAAGTATGCGAATTTGTAAATATAACAAGAAAAGACGTTGCCGTGCTTCAAAGTAAGCTTTGGCACAAGGAATAACAAACATGCTGCAAATTAGATGAATACTGGGTCGTTTTAATGCCCAAAGGTAGTAGGAACTGCAGATGCTGGAGAATCCGAGACAACAAGGTGCAGAGCTGGATGAACACAGCAGGCCAAGCAGCATCATAGGAGCAGGAAGGCTGACGTTTCGGGCCTAGACCCTTCATCAGAAATGGGGG